GGCCATATCACATCACACAGCATACCCTGCAAAAACAAGTTAGACGTCCTCTAATTGTTGTTTGCATGTTTTACGTGGCTGCTATGGGTTTCTAGCAAGAACGTTTCTTACCTACGCAAAATCCACAATGTGATATGCCAATTGCTATTTACCCTTCATAAGGACCCTTTTCATCGAATCCGATCCTACTAAAGTGGGAGAGACTGGCACCCGCTAGCCACCTTATGCAATAAGTGCATGTCAGTCGGTGAAACCTGTCTCACGTAAGTGTACGTGTAAGGTCGGTCTGGGTCACTTCATCCCACAATACCATCGAAACGAGATAGGACTAGTAACGATAAGCATATTGAACAAAATCAACGCCCACAACAACTTGTGTTCTACTCGTGCATACAATCTACGCAATAGACCTAGCTCGTGATGCCACTGTTGGGGAACGGTGCAGAAATTCAAAATTTTCTACGCATCACCAAGATCAATCTATGGAGTAATCTAGCAACGAGGGGAAGGGGAGTGCATCTACATACCCTTGTAGATTGCTAAGCGGAAGCGTTACAAGAACGCAGATAAAGGAGTCATACTCGTAGCGATTCAGATCGCGGTTGATTCCGATCTAAGCGCCGAACAACGGCGCCTCCGCGTTCAACACACGTGCAGCCCGATGACGTCTCCCGTGCTTTGATCCAGCAAGGGGAGAGGGAAAGGTTGGGGAAGACTCCGTCCAGCAGCAGCACGATGGCGTGGTGGTGGTGGAGGAGCCCGATACTCCAGCAGGGCTTCGCCAAGCACTACGAGAGACGACGAGGGAGAGAGGTAGGGCTGCGCCTTGGGAGAGAGAGACTCATGTGTTGGGCAGCCCCAAAACCTCCACTATATATAGGGGGAAGGGAGAGGGGGAGGCGCCCTAGGGTTTCCCCTAGGGGGGCGGCGGCCAGGGCAGATGGGTTCTCCCCTTTGGGTGACTTGGCCCCCAAGCCAGGAGGTGGGAACCCTAGATGGGGCGCCCCAAACCCCCTGGTCACGTGGGAATAGGTGAGGGGGGCGCACAACCCCTTAGTGGGCTGGTTTTCCCCTCCCCTTGGCCCATGAAGCCCCCCCAACACTTGCCGGGGCTCCCGAAACACCTTTCGGTCATGCTGGTCATCACCCGGTACTTCCGGAACACTTCCGGACTCCAAAACCCTTCGTCCAATATATCAATCTTCACCTCCGGACCATTCCGGGACTCCTCGTGACGTCCGAAATCTCATCCGGGATTCCGAACAACATTTGGTAACCGCGTACATACCTTCCCTATAACCCTAGCGTCATCGAACCTTAAGTGTATAGACCCTACGGGTTCGGGAACCATGCAGACATGACCGAGACAACTCTCCGGCCAATAACCAACAGCGGGATCTGGATACCCATGTTGGCTCCCACATGTTCCACGATGATCTCATCGAATGAACCACGATGTCAAAGATTCAATCAATCCCGTAAACAATTCCCTTTGTCTACCGGTATAGTACTTGCCCGAGATTCGATCGTCGGTATGCCGATACCTTGTTCAATCTCGTTACCGGCAAGTCTCTTTACTCGTTCCGTAACACATCATCCCGTTATCAACTCCTTGATCACATTGTGCACATTATGATGATGTCCTACCGAGTGGGCCCAGAGATACCTCTCCGTCACATGGAGTGACAAATCCCAGTCTCGATTCGTTCCAACCCAACATACACTTTCAGAGATACCCGTAGTGCACCTTTATAGCCACCCAGTTATGTTGTGACGTTTGGTACACCCAAAGCATTCCTACGGTATCCGGAAGTTGCACAATCTCATGGTCTAAGGAAAAGATACTTGACATTTAAAAAAGCTTTAGCATACGAACTACACGATCTTGTGCTAGGCTTAGGATTGGGTCTTGTCCATCACATCATTCTCCTAATGATGTGATCCCGTTATCAATGACATCCAATGTCCATGGTCATGAAACCATGACCATCTGTTAATCAACGAGCTAGTCAACTAGAGGCTCACTAGGGACATGTTGTGGTCTATGTATTCACACATGTATTGCGGTTTCCGGTTAATACAATTATAGCATGAATAATAGACAATTATCATGAACAAGGAAATACAATAATAACCATTTTATTATTGCCTCTAGAGCATATTTCCAACAACCTACATAGTTGTCGAACCCGTAGGATCCGCACGCTTAACGTTCGGTGACGATCGGTATTATGAGTTTATGTGTTTTGATGTACCGAAGGTAGTTAGAAGTCCTAGATATGATCACGGACATGACGAGGAGTCTCAAAATGGTCGAGACATAAAGATTGATATATTGGATGACTATGTTTGGACTTCAGAAGGGTTCCGAGCAAGTTCAGACATATACCGGAGTACCGGGGGGTTACCGGGACCCCCCGGGGAGTATAATGGGCCTATTGGGCCTTAGTGGAGAAGAGGAGGGGCAGCCAGGGCAGGCCACGCGCCCCCTCCCCCTCTAGTCCGAATTGGACAAGGAGGGGGGGACGCCCCCCTTTCCTTCCTCCTCTCTCCTTCCCTTCCCCCTTCTCCTACTCCTACTAGGAAAGAAGGAGTCCTACTCCCGGTGGGAGTAGGACTTCCCCCTTGGCGCGCCCTCCTCCTTGGTCGACCGCCTTCCCCTAGCTCCTTTATATACGGGGGTAGGGGGCACCCCAAGACACAAGTTGATCATTGATCTTTAGCCGTGTGTGGTGCCCCCCTCCACCATAATCCACCTCGGCCATATCGTAGCGGTGCTTAGGCGAAGCCCTGCGTTGGTAGCTTCATCAACACCGTCATCACGCCGTCGTGCTGATGAAACTGTTCCTCGAAGCTCTACTGGATCATGAGTTCGTGAGACGTCATCGAGCTGAACGTGTGCAGATCGCGGAGGTGTCGTACGTTCGGTACTACGATCGGTCGATCGTGAAGACGTACGACTACATCAACCGCGTTGTCATAACGCTTCCGCTTACGGTCTACGAGGGTACATGGACGACACTCTCCCCTCTCGTTGCTATGCATCACCATGATCTTGCGTGTGCGTAGGAATTTTTTTGAAATTACTACGTTCCCCAACAGTTACTGCTTGATAAACACTGGAACTATTTTCAGAGATGGTAACCTCGCTGGACCAGGTCCATGTTATAAGTTCTTAATCCTAACAGTAACATGCATTCCTCAAATAAAGAAAGAAAGATCCAGGGGAATGGCAAACAAATCAAGATATATCTGATATATGTTCTTCATAAAGAGATGTCAGCATGTGCTAGTTATCTCTCAATAGATGGACTAACAGAGCAGACCCTGTAGCATGTAGGCAGTGACGAATCTTCCGGCAGGCTTTAACATGCTTGAGCCTGCTCTCCAGCGATGCAAACAATTTTTTTAGTACTAGTTTCAAAGCCAGCCCAGCCAGTCGATAGCCCTTTTGTACTGTAGTTATACAATATGTGCTCTGTTTATATGGTCTACGATTTAGTAATGGACTAATGGTAGCTAGCTTTAACAGTGGTTGGTTAAACTGTTCAAGTACTAGAGAAGAGAATCAATATAGCTAGCGGTTTATTTAAGATTCTGAGCTAATTTGGGCTACAAGATTTTGAGATATTGGCTTTGCTAAACAGAAGCTATTTTTGGTTCAAAATCTGTTCAAGTACTAGAGAAGAGAATCAATATAGCTAGCGGTTTATTTAAGATTCTGAGCTAATTTGTGCTACAAGATTTTGAGATATTGGCTATTTTGCTAGACAGAAGCAATTTTTGGTTCAAATTTCACATTTCAAAAAGTATGAAACAATTCTACTAGTACATAGTACATGTTCTCAGTAGTATTCTGGCAATTTTTAACCTTCTTTGAGCAAAAGAATTGAGAGTTAGTGGCATTTTTTTCATGCCGCTAACTTTGCGCCCGCCCTCGGTTTTGTTCCAAGGTTCGCCACTGCCTACGCATGATTTACTTGAAGAAAAACTAGAGTGAACAATGAAGCTCCGCACATTCCTCAAATAATAGAAGAAAGCAAATTGCTGAACATGCATCCAGAGACATTGCTTAAGAGAAAAGACATGGGAGCATTACAACCCGATCCACATAGATTGAGCCTGAATCGCAGCATAGGGAAATCAATACCGTTCTTGGAACATAGCTACTGATCGTATCACCACAAATCTCCAGAAACAGCAAACCCTAGCCTAGTTTATTGAACCAAAAATCATCTGGCCATGAGAACAGTAAGAGATGGGGGAAGAAGTAATCTCATACATTACAGGGAGAACAAACCCAGATCAGATCGAGCAGGACGACGCCGACGGCGGGCTGAGGATGAGGGTGCTCCGGCTTCTCCTCTAGTTCGCGCCTCAGATCAGGCAAGACGGCGTCGACGACGGGCTGAGGACGAGGGAGCGCGGCCTTCTACTCTACTTCGCCCCTTCCCCTGATTCACGCCTTCCCTTCTCCCCTTCCCGCGTCTGGTTCCCGCCCTTCTCCTCCCCCTTCCTGCGCCTGGTTCCCGCCCTTCTCCTCTCGCTCTCGCGGGCTTTTGTTGGGCGAGTGTGGTGACGTACCGAGCGAAGCGACGGATCCCACATCGCGTCGGCCCAGCGGCAACCTCGTCGCTTTGTTAGGGAAGAGGCGAGTTCTTCTGCAGGATCCCGTTTTGCTCTGTAGGCGATAGGTTTGAAGGAGGTGGCATCAGGCATGACGATGTGGCGGCTAGGGCATCGGTCCACACTAGAGCGTTGTACATGTCCTTAGTGCTAACCCTATGACGCGCGCTCGGCCGGCTGAAGCTTCGGCCGGCGTGTAGACGCGAAACGTTTTCCTTTATTATTAAGGAAGATATAACTTTCAGCCCTATATCGAAACACATGCGTCCCTGCATCACGCCTACGCTTAACCTCAGTTTTCACATGCGTTTATGTCGTGTTAAAAGATTCATCTTTTGGGTAAAAAGTTGTTTCTTCGGTCAACATTTTTTTGGATGCACTTTGCGTACCCTCCTAATCTATCGATCGATCCGGTCGGGTCGAACCAGCAAAGCAGCTGCACGTGCAAACACCGGCCTGGGCGCCGTTTACAGATGGTAATTACTTCTTCCGCTCCCGGGATTAGGCTCCAAGGAAATATCGGCAAGATCACATCCACAGCCTTCGCAAGGCAACAAAATTGCAAGCGATTGCTGACAAACAGGTCGATTTCGACCGATCTCCTCCGCATATGTGGTTCTCTGCTGCCCTTGCCGCTTCTCCTCCCATCCTCCTTGTCCTCGGGCGCACGGGGAAACGACGCCGGCGAGATGGCTCCTCCCCGCGCGGTGATCTGCGTGGGTGACGTCCACGGGTACATTTCCAAGCTGGAGAGCCTCTGGGCGAACCTCCGGTCCGCGCTCCCCGCCGACGCCTTCGCCACCGCGCTCGTCATCTTCCTCGGGGACTACAACGACCGCGGCCCGCACACCCGCCGCGTCCTCGACTTCCTCCTCGCGCTCCCGGCCCGCCACCCGGCTCAGCGCCACGTCTTCCTCTGCGGCAACCACGACCTCGCCTTCGCCGCCTTCGTCGGAGCGCTGCCGCCGCCCCCCGACGGCTCCCCTTTCGCCGCCACCTGGGCCCAATACATCGACAACGAGGCCCACGAGGGATGGTTCCGCGGGCCGGGCCACGAGGACATGCACGTGCAAGGGAGGAGATGGGGCGGCGTCATCAAGGAGAGGTGGAACCCCAAGAAGGGCCTCCCGTACAAGGGCTCTATCTACGATGCTCAGCCCACCTTCGAGTCCTACGGCGTCGCCCATGGATCACCAGGTCAGTCTAGGAATTCCCCCCTATCAATGTGGTTACATGTGCTTCCATGCTGATCCAAAGAATACTAGTATTCATACTTCAATTGCTTATGATGTGAATTGCCACTGCCGAAGAAACGATCATATAATAAACTAGAGATATGGACATTAAAGTCAAAGTCATTAACAGAGCCCAAATGATGTGAGCCGTTGTTAAACCCTTACATATCCCACTTTCTCAATATTTTAATTACGGAATAGTGTCTCATCGACTGTGAAGCAGTAACACAGAACACCTTCCAGTATGAAGGGCCAGTTTTCATTCTTACAACATTGCAGTGGACAGTGCTGGAGCATAGAGACCACTTCACACTTCACAGTACTGACAACCACCTGTTTCGTCTCTAGAAAGTCTGCATAGCGCACATTCCTGACATTGCGGTTATTTACATACTTATGAACTATGATCATTATTTTTTCCGTGGAAACATTGCAATGCCTACTTTATTTAGATTAACAATCACCCTGTTTTTGGCAATACAAGAGTACACAATCAATATCGTATAGGTATTGAGTTATGTTCACTTAAATCAAATTAGTGGTTTACAATATGTGATTAATATTTATAGCACTATCATCGTGATATTAGCCTACATTAAATTAATTTGGAAAATGCTAATTATTTCCAACAATCCCCAAGCTTTATTTGTTTACTCAAATTTTGATTTAAGGCCTGCTACTGTTCTGAAACTGAACATGTTTACGGGTGTGCTTTTAAGAGTTGGCAAATGAAAACAATCTTGTAGTTCACGACTATGAATGTTAGTGGGTATTGGCTAGCACACCTGAAAGAATGCTTATTTCTGAATGGGAGGAAGTGTTCAAGGATGCCGCCACACTTTGTGGGTGCCGTCATTGGCGTGGCCGGAGACAAGTTGGTATACGCGTATTTGAATATGCGTAATGCCAAGGAACCGTGGAATGCACTCGAAGCTAAGTTCGGCGCAACTGATCTAGGCAATCAACTGTATGATACGGAGCAGTTCCATGACTCAAGGATGGTTGACAACAGTCCCGTGCTAGAACAAACTCACGAGATACAAGCGATCGCTAAGGAATTTGAGCTCTTTAGGTGTGGGCTACTCAGACAAGTTTATCGCCGGATGCATTATTGCTAATCAGGCCGGGCATTCGGTTCCCACGAACCGATTGGTTTGATGCATTATTGCTAGTAACATACTGCACCCCGAGGCAAAATGAGTCTTCATCTGAATAAATGAAATCTTGCATGATACTCCCTCCGTCCGGAAATACTTGTCAATGAAATCTAGATGTATTTTAATTCTAGATACATCCATTTTCATCCATTTATGCGACAAGTATTTTCGGACGGAGGGAGTACCACACATATATTACTACCCATTATGGAGGTCCTAACATAGAATAGTAACATATGCATGTTACTAGTCTAAGTTACTTCCCACTATGACCAGCCTAAGGAAGCTTAGAGACAGTCTAGCGTCAGTGTGGTGCAGAAAAGTCTCATGAGTTCGAAAGGAAAAATGTGTTTGATCAAATTACCAAGTTTAAGGAGCAGAACAAGCAGGGGCGGACCTAGACCAAAAACTTCCCGGGGTCCACATGTACGCCATAAATGATGGATGCTATGCAATAATATACACAAAAGTAACCAACTAAATAGCTTAAAATGTCCAATAATAAAAAATAATTATCAAAATGAAGTGTTCCCTTGAAATTCTTGTTGATTGTGTAAAATTAAACAATAAAACATAACATCTCCAAACAATAGGAACAAATATGATCAGGCAACATAAATTCCCTCGTAATTCGCTGATTATTATGTTATCACAAGTGCACAAGGAGTTACACTATTTGTGTTTGTAGGCAGAAACAACAAATAAAGCTTGCTCATCGAAGTGTATGGTTGTGAAGTTAAACTTACTTGACATTGTGTCTTAATGCTGCCACGCGGTCGACAAATAATCCAAGGTTTCAAATGGATGTGAATCACTAAGGAAAATTTATCAAATCACAGAATCCGTATCTCTATTGTAATTCCCTTGAATTTGAAAACACCGGCCATACAATCTAGGTAAAGAATTAGAGAAAATTGGGATATGTACATATGTTTGAGACAAATTGGCGACCTTACCGAGAGCAATACTATTTCCTTTGATTATTTAGCAATCTGCAGCCGCCAGCGGATGATCGCAGGGGATGGCGGCTGATGAGTGGCAATTGCTCAGGGGGTGAGGGGCGGCGGCGCGACGGAAGGAGGCGAGCAAGCGCCAACCGAACTGGCGCAGGATAAGCACGTATGTGAGCGGTAGGATCCAATCGATCGATATCTTGTTTTCTTTGCTCCCTCGAGACGATGGACAGCCGTATGGGCCGTGCCTGAGCTCGCTCCAACTAAGCCAACGGGTGTCCAGATTTATTTTTTACAGGTGTCCAAGCCTCAAATACGAAGTAGTATACACGTAAGCGCAATTTCTACACGGTGTCCTGTGACACCGGCTGCGTGAACGTAGGTCCGCCCCTGAGAACACGGGTCAGAACAAGGACACATATGTGCTATGTGTGTGATGAACCTGACCATTGGGATGTCAAGTGCCCATTTCGCAAGGACGGGAAGGGTCAACTAGTATAGAACAAAGTTTGTCAACCTGCCATTAGCAACAATGATGATACAACACCAGGGTATGGTAATATACCTTACTTTATGTTTCTTACTCTACCAATTGATGGATTGATATCAGAGCTAATATTCATGTGTGTGCCGATATCTCCTTGTTTTCTTGTTACCAAGTCGCGCTCAGGATTCCACCGACCTAATGGGAATGGTTCACATGCTTCCATTCATGGTGTTGACATAGTATATTTGAAGTTTACTTCGGAAAAAATCGTGCAACATGTGCACTCAATAAATAATAATCTCATTATTGGTTTTATGCTTCACAAAGATGAGTTTAAATTGGTTTTTGAGTTCAATAAATTAGTAATGTGAAACATTAGTAATGTGAAACCATGTGCTTTTTATTGGTAAAGCCTTTGAGTGAGGAGGTCTGTTTTGCCTTTACATATCACATTTTTGTAATTAGGTTGTGAACCATATATGCACTAGTGTTATCGAGACCGGCATTCATGACTTTGTCACATTAATTTTGGTTCTGTGACGCACCTTGCCAAAATCCCTAAGTTCACCTTACCAGAAGGCTCAAGTGCTAAGCTTGTTGCAAGCTAAGCAACCTTGCAAGCCTCACAAAGCTGCCGGAAGAGAAACCTGGCACCATCGCAGCTCATACTTTTTGATCTATGTGAGATGGATGGTGTGTTGACAAAAGGTGGAAATAAATATTTCATGACTTTGATTGATGATTCCACTAGAGAAACTTGGCCTACTGGCACCATTGTGGCAACCCGTGTCATTTAACCAAAATTATTGTGTCAAAGTGGCGAATGCCAAGCATCGGCTTCGTTGACACTAGTGCATATGTGGTTCACAACCTTATTGCAAAAATCTGATGGGGAAAGGCAGAACGAACCCCCGCACTCATAGCCTTTACCAATAAAAGGTCCATACTTTGACACTACTTTATTGGACTTAAAAACGTACTTAAATCCATCTTTGCAAAGAATGCAACCACTAACGAGATTATTATTTTATTGAGGACACATGTTGCACTATCTTCCTTGAAGTAAACGTTAGATGTACCATGCCAACACCACGAACGACATGTGAGCCGACATGTGAGCTGTTTCTTATTAGGACGGTGGAAATCCCGAGAGACCTAGTAACAAGAAAAAACAAGAATACATCAACACACACATGAATACTAACACATATATCAACCCACCAATCAGTAGGCTGGCAAGCAGATAGGACAATAGGTACATTACCGTACCCAAGTATTGCATCATCAGTGTTGCCAATGACCGGATTCTTGGCTGGCTCTTCACGCCCTTGCGAAATGGGTACTTGATAGCCCAATGGCTAGGTTCACCGCACACATAGCACATATCCTTGTCTTGCTTCTGCTTCTTCTCGAACTTGGTAGTTTGAAGACCACATTTTTTCCCCTTGGAACTCATGGGATTTTTGTGCACCACGTTGACTCTAGACTGTCTGCAGCCCCCTTTGTTCTCTTTGACACCCAAAGATCCAATGAGATTCTCAATATAGATGCTATGTGTTTCTTGTGCTTCAGAGAAGTGGCAAAATTTCTCCATGGAGTAAGGTTAGCAATAATGCACCCAATGACAAACTTGTCAGGTAACACACACTTAAGGAGCTTAAGTTTCTTAGCAATGCATTGTATCCCATGAGCATGTCCTACCACTGGACGATTGCCAACCATCCTATAGTCATGGACCTGCTCCATAGCATACAATTCACTGCTTGCATCAGTTGCGCCGAACTTAGCTTCGAGCGCATCCCACAATTTCTTGCCAGTACGCGTACACAAATGCATGCTCACCAATTTGTACCCGATAACGCTCATGTTCAGGAGTAAGCGCTCTTTAAGGATTGCTAGTCGACACCCAGAACACGTTCATAGCTGTGAGCCACACAAGATGGTTTCTGTTTGCCAACACTTAAAGTGCACACCTATAAGCGACTTCACTTTTAGAGCAGCAACAAATCTTTGAATCAAAAATTGTGAACATGTAAGGTGTTTGGATTGTTGAAGTAATTAGCGAATTTGTGAATTGTTATAATCCAACTTAGTATCATGACGATAATGCTACTCCCTCCGTTCCTAAATATAAGTCTTTTTAGAGAACCCAATATGGACTACATACGAATGTATAGACATATTTTAGAGTGTAGGTTCACTAATTTTGCTCCGTATGTAGTCCATATTGGAATCTCTAAAAAGACTTATATTTAGGAACAAAGGGAGTAACAATATTAATCACATACTATAAACTAGTCATGTGAGTGCCTACGAGACATAGAACGAACATATCTATGAATTTCACATGCACAACAAATGAACGTGAACCAATGAAAGGATTAACATAATGTACCCTCAGGTCGAAATGACCCCGGCGGCAACGTTCTTCGCGACACCAGCGATGTCTCCAGTGTCAACCATAGTGAGGTCGATGAAGTTGTGGAAGTAGTTGAACAAAGGTAAGCAGCCGCGTCGAGACGCTCCCTAAAACCTTATTAGCCTTCAATCGATGTAGCTTTTTGCAAAGGGCGCAGCGAAGGCCTGCCCTTCCGTGCACGCAGTCACCGAGAGGAAGACGAGAATAGCACAACAAGAGGAACGGTGGGGTGGTTCGAGCGTGAGGGGCATATTCAATCTGATTGGTGATGCCTAGGGTCACGAAAGTCCTCTTTATGTAGTCAGTCGGTACGGATCAACCCATGTCCTAGTCATCCGAACAAATTGGGAATGACTATTATTAACGCGCTTGTCTAGGACTCGTAATTCATAATAATTAATTATGTCGCAAAAAAATCATAATAATTAATTATCCATTCCAACGTGCAAAAATAGATCACACAGCATGGGTCTGAGCCTGGCTTGTTCACGAAACCTAACACGCATGCGCTTTGCGTGGCGGGCGACGGAGGAGGAGCGCGTGTGTATAAGTGCTCTTCTCAAGCTCAAGGAGTGAGAGTGTAAGCCCCAGCCAAATCCACCAGTTGCGCCTGGCTACCACCTAGGATCTAGACTGGCCCCAGAAACCAACACTAGTATTTCTCGCGCACTTTGTCCTCACTCGTGCGCATCCGGGATCAACTTCCCAGTCGGTCACCCATTCCCGATCCTCAAATTACTCTAAGCCAAGCACACTTAACTTTGAGGTTCTTTTCGATAGGCTTCCGGAAAAGAAGGTGCACCTTGTTGATATGAGTTGTCTATCATTCCTATTAATCCGGGATGTGAACCTTATCGTTATTTTTATTAGCGCGTAGGAGGATTATATAAACACTTGTAAGGACTCGTTTTGGAATTAAGCAATAAGTCATCTCTATTGCTCGGCTCCCTTCAGGAGCCGGGGACCCTAAACCCTAGCCGCCCCCTGCGCCTCTCTCTCTCGCGCGATCACGGTGCCCCAGCGCCGGCCGCTCGCGCCCCTCGCCTCGACAGCCTCCCTTCCACCCCTATAACCTGAGGGCACGGCCTGGTAGGAACCCAGCTCCTATCAACACGTGTCATGCACCACATCTCAGCGCACAGGACCCGCATATGCCCATGTAATCACGAGGGTCGACTCTGATACCAATTGTAACGCCCGGCCAAACCCACCGGTTCCTGGCCGTTGCGCCTGGCTACCACTTAGGTTCTACACTGGCCGCACAGAGCAACACTAGTTTTTCCTGCACACTTTGTCCTCACTCATGCGCACCCGGGATCAACTTTCCAGTTAGTCACCCATACTCAAATTGCTCCAAGCCAAGCACGCTTAATTTTGAGGTTCTTTCAGATGGGCTCCCAGAAAACAAAATGTACCTTGTTGATATGAGTAGTCTATCATTCCTATTAAGCCGGGATGAGACAGAGAGTCCCTTTTATGGTTTTTTAGGGAAGTGTCCCTTTTATGTTGCTCTCTACTCTCCTAAACTCTACATGTAAGACTAAACTTCCCACCCATACATGCAACCATAGTGGGCCTTCAACATTTTCTTGGAATTATTTCCTATAAGGGCTAATGCCCACATAGACATACTGTCACAGTATTGCACCCACCATAATTTAACCAAGCAGTTTCTAATTTGCCACAGTTCTAATTATACTGTAGATCTCATGAAAGCTGTGCCTGAGGAGCACAAGAAGTTTCTGCATGACTTGGTTTGGGTCCATGAAGAGGTATGCATTCTTTTCTAGTTCAAAGTATACTAGAGATGCAAAACGTATTTCTGCTTTTGTGTTTCATGTTATCGTTGTATTGCAGGAAGACGTTCGTATTGATACAGATGGAGGCCAGATTCTATGCAAACTGATCGCGGTTCATGCCGGCCTGGAAAAGTCCTTGGATTTGAATGAGCAGCTTAGAGTTTTGAGAACTAGAGACACAAGTGTTCCAAAAGTTCAAATGCTTAGCGGGAGGCAGGATGTTTGGAACATACCACAGGTGAGCTAATATGTGATCCTATTGCACTATATCTTGCCAGAGACGAACGATTTACTCTCCGGTTTATTGTGTCGAATTTGGTGTCGCAGCTAACTCAGTACACTCATGTAGTGTGTAGATACAAACTTGATATAAGTTCAGTGCATTAGATTACCGTCCTTGTAGATTATATAGAAGAGACCAACATAGTTCTGCACAATGCTGCTAACTGATCTGAAGACTCTTGCACTCAATGTTTGAATGAAAGTGTAGAGTTTTCTCATCAGATGTGTGAGCACATAATCTTTGCTTGCTACGATGCAAGTACTGACAAGTGCCATTTTCTCCTTTTATCAAATTATTGAGCCAGTTTTCTTTAGCACAGAGCGTTGGTGATCTGTAAAGGGGAAAAAGTGTGGCATGCAGGAAATTTGATTACAGCTGTCAACTGTCCTGCTTCTAATATGCTTTAAACTAGCAGCAAGGTGCATTGGGTGAAGTTAGGTTACATAAATCACACCAATTTGATTGTCACTCTGGAACTTCGGATTGTTTAGCCCATTTTTGCTGAAACAGCAAGCACATGGTGTATGCTCATAGGCTGCCACTAACTTATTCATGACTACATGGTTGGTGTCCATATATCAGTACATTTATTAGGATTATGAGCAGTTTTGCTGATACATGGATTTCCCTTTCCAGGATCTGGCCGGCAAGCAGACCATCGTTGTAAGTGGGCATCATGGGAAGCTCCACGTGGACGGTCTCAGGTTCATCATCGACGAAGGTGGCGGGTACGCAGATAAACCTATAGCGGCCGTTGTTTTCCCTTCGAAGGAAGTGATCAGGAGCACAGAGGGAACGGCGTCCCAGAATTAATCTAGACAGCATCGGACGGCACGAATGCAAGCTAATGTTTTTTGTTACTGTCGTAACATGAGCAATCGGACGACTGGTATGTATATCTGCCAAAACGGAGTATAATATCTCAAAAAACACATAATTGGGGTTTAGTTGTATAACGTCGATTAAATAAATAAATAATGTGTGATCTCAATGTGACAACCAGGACAAGGAAGTTCCTGTGTGCCAGTTGACAGCATCATTATACTACGTACTTGGGTACTTGGCTGTCGGTATGAATCATGAACGGCAATGGCCCTGTTTTTAAACAGCAGCTTTTCTTGTTAACACAACCTGCACCTTCTATAGACAGACAGATCTCGAACGGTGGTTGTACATGCCTACATGGTACAAACTCGTTTGCTCCGTGGCACCTGCAGAGCCATTTTTTTTCTTCGAATTCGGCAGTGCAAAAAGGTGCGAGGGATATCATGTCACACGGGAGTTGTTGAATTAACGGTCGGGAGAGAGCCTCCTGGCAGGTCCCTTGTACTTCTAGTTTGTTTATTCCTGATGAACAGCAAGCGAAAGCGAACGGACATGTCCACCGGGAAGGGACCACGGCGCTAGAGAACTCGGCCGGCCGGTCCCTCCCCCCGTCCTCTGCCACTCACATCGGTCACCAAGCTTCACGTACTCCGGTATCTAGGAACTAGGATCACCAGCAATGCTACATCTACGTAATTTATTTACGTAATGTTACGTACAGGCTGATTTGG